ACATTTGCAAATCAAATTCGATTCTGCCATCTTTTGTTTTTCTACAATTGTCTAGCAATGACCTCCAAAAAAAAACCTTTCGCATGCAACTACTTCACAATGAACATTTAAAATAAACCATTACAATGATTGTTTTTCACGATTTAAAAGGCTGCCAACAAATTTTGTGGCAGTCATAAACTAAACTAGGAAGACTGACAATAAAAGACATTTGCATATGAATTGGTACAAAGAACGTGCCTTTGTGTACAAAGTTCTCATGGCCCCTTTGTAAAACATGTTTTGTTTTCCTGTTTAAATTTCTGGACCTCCAAAAAAAAGTACAAAGCATTTTCTTTGATAAGTTTTGTTCAAGAAAGTTAAATGTTTTCGAAAATTTTTCAACAAGAGATTTAAATTTTCATGGTAGATTCGGAAGTTGTTTATAAAATATTCTAAACTTTTGCGTTATTTTAGAAATAAACATCTTTACCAGATAGTGATTTTTTTTTTTTTTTGGCGTTAACACTTTGGTTGTTGCACGGGAAAAGAAACGGAGCGAACGGTCGCATCGGAACAGAAAATTAACTGCAGTGCATGGAAGGGCCAAGGGACTGCAAAATACTATTGCTATAACGAGGTTCTACTGTATTTCGAAACTGAAATGGGTTATAACCCGTCGAATTAAATTGGGATATTTTGCGGGGGGAAATGATTGGATTTTGATTGATAAGAGTGTTCTTGCTCCTGTGCAACTGATTATTGTCTGACAGAGAAAGATATGAAATGGCAAGTAACTAACAGTTGCTGATCAAACTCGATTGGATATAAAATTGAACTCGGTTTGTTGAGGTATTTCACGTTTACTTCGCAAGATTTAAAACTCCATTAAATTTTATTTCGTTGCTTATTTGATCTATTTGCCATTTCATCTTTTTCGTGTCTCGAGGAACTCTTGCATCACCTCGCACAAAAACCATCGCGAAGTTCGTTGCAAATGAAATTCGAGACTGTTTGCAGGGCTCGAAATTAACTTTTTCGTTCGGGAGCCAGCTGGCCAACCTCGTTCCCAGGGTCTTTTCCCTGGCTTGGAGGTGGGGCGGGAAAAGGCCCTGGGATCGGCTGGTCACATGATCTCAGAACACCCAAATATCTTGGGTGTACTAAATTATCATATGTTAAACGGAACTTTCAAGATGGCGGTCTCGTCGAGTGAACCAAAGTTTTTGTCAGTGCTTCGTCGAGTCGGATTTTCCTTAAATAACGGTAATTTTCCACCTTTAAATTTAAAACCTCTTCAAATGAAGTGTTTTGAATATATGCTGAAAGGTCAGGATGTTATTGGAGTCCTACCTACTGGA